TTTAAAGATATATCTGCCTTCCGATAGCCTTATGCATTTTGACAGAGGTTAAGTTCTTTGTACTTTCTTGGGACATTGGTCGTTTCTATAGTGAAGAAAGCGTTTAAGTTTCCAGCCTCACAATTAACAGTCAAACTCGCTCTAGCTAGTGAATATCAACCAAACAACTGGAAAGTGAATTACGATAAGTGTCTTATTTGGGTCGACGTTTGTGACCGTTTTCAGTTCTCTTAACCATCGACCACTTTTCGTAGTCTAGGCACACCCAGTAGCAATTACTCTCGGATATTTCTTAGAAATCTGTGCGTGTGGATAGATAATCTTGATATTTATCAGGTACATTGGAAGTTAATAAAAGCGAAATGACAAATGTTGACATATATTCCTTATTAAACCAGCTTGATGCGAAGTTCAAAGATCTGAAATTTAACCGTTGAGTTACCAGTTCGGAACAAAATTCCGAAGTTCTGTCACCTAATTATCTGTCCGCCCTATAGTTGGCATGCGATTTGACTATTTGTTGGTACATTCTGATCTACGAAGTGCCCTGCAATTTATCTGTTTTTAATGTGACAATAAAAATTCTCAGTAAACTGGCATTGCTTGTTGCTTTTAAATCATTAGAGTTTGTTCACTCAGTTACCGGCCGAACAATTTGCGCACATAAAATTTTGGTTACTGCACAAATAAACACTTTGACTCCAAGCTGTGTCTTGAATATCCAACTATCTGATTTTTGGCAATGAAAAAAGTTGGATCTCCATTTTCGAAATGATCATTTGGATACTTTATTGCTTTTGCAGGTTGGCGTGATAATGCATATTCTTCCGATACCAAGAAACACAAATAATTAAACATTGGCTTACTTATATTACCTCTCTGCATTCACCAACGACGGCATTCAGATAGGACTTTCTAACCAAACGCATTGGTTATACCTTTTCCGATAAAAATGCTTTAATTCATCGGATGCCATTCAATTGCCACTACCGATCTGTATTCCATTGAATACAGCATGATGGTAATGAAGCTGTTGAAAGTTGCTTAGAAATTTGCCTACTATTCATTTTCAAGTGTTATTTCTCATAATCACACCAAACGGTTTTTGTTTTATCCTTAAAGGGACCCCGATGTGCAAAATGTGCTTATTCAATTAGCATCAACATATGGCGGTTGCCTACTGTACGTTTGAATAGGGTTGCATTTATTCGGACGACTTGTTTTTGAATGTTTAGTAAAAATTTAGGCTATTTCCAACCCGTGATAGTCAGCATTTTTCATCAAATCTACTTTGAAAAATTCGAAGGCCACGAAGTGTTTCAAATCAAGGACATCATGGACACCGAGTCCGATAAATTAACAAACACTGTTGAAAATCATTAAATAGATTCGTGTTCGACTGAAATACCAACAATATTCCCAGGACCTGGCTGACAGTAGACTCTCAGTCATTGAGTTGCTGAGTCAGGAATGTAATCGCAATAATGTACGACAAATGAACTACCTTCCTCACACTTTAAAAATCCGGAGTTACTGTTCATCGTCAGAGATTTGGTGACTGTTCAGCCTTCGCCTCTCGTTCCATTCAAACTGTGAGATAACGCCTGCTGTACAAATGCACAGGGTTCACTACTCCCGCCCACAACGCCGCCCATGTCGATGTGTGCTCAGCTTGAACTGGTGCGATTACCTACACCGACCATCTGGACCCCGTGTGCAGAGTACAGCTCGCTACGCAGCAGTAAACCCCCAGCGACCGGCATGCTGTCACTCCGGAAGGTGTCATCTAGTCAACACGCCAATTTGGTATTAGGTGCGTACGTGCGAGGAAGTGGCTGTTTGTGCCAGCCAGGCACAACCAAACCAGCGACATGTTAGCCGAATTTGCTAAATGCGTTTTCCATTAGAAAGGATTAATTACTTGAGGTTGTAACATTGCTGACCACGCGACCAAATTATATAATATTTCGGACTCATCAGGATGTTGGCTTTCGAATGCGCTCTCATTCCATTTCCTGATAATAACGACTTTAAGAAACACGTCTTACTAAACTACTTTTCCGCAGCCTTGCAGCCTAAAATTATTTTGCAGAAAACATGCACAAAATATGCTTTCTCTTATTCATTTGACGGAAAAACACGTCATAGTCACATGTGATACTCGAAGAAAGGGAATTTTTTGGTTTTAAAAAATTCCTATTATTTCTTTGAAGCTTTTAAGACCGTGCACTGTCAATTCATGAAGCGTCATATTTGTCCGTTTATTAAGATTCTTCACAAAATACACAGCGTGGTCCGCATCCATCGCAAAATTTTGTGAAATCTACATGGCATCTTTTTAAAAGCCTAAAGAAATATATGGCTCTTCTTACACGGAATGTATACGCCTTGGATACTGGAATCGCTGAACGCTTATGCGATGGCCGGTCTGGCCCAAAATTGTTCGGAAAATGGAAAACTTTTTCGAAACATATATCTACATTTTCTTTGAATATAACATGTGAAGCTGACGTGACTTGTTATAAAATGAGCAAAATGAAACACATTTTGTGCATGCCTTTATAAAATATGTCTGAATTTAAAAGAACATCGAAAATTAATGTGGAAAATACATACTACTTAAGTAGCCAATTTTACCGAATGCAACTTTTGAAAGAAATCGAGAGGAAAGGCATTCAAAAGCCAACATCTTGATGAGTCCGAAATACCCTAGAATTTTGTCGCGTGACAACCAGTATTACAATCTCACCTAAGCAATGCTTACTAATCGGAAACGCATTTCAGGATTTCGGCTAACATTTTATAAGTTCGATCACCCACTGTATAGCTCGGTCTCCCAATGCTGCTGGACCCTCTTACAACCCTTAACGGACGCGCCTCGCTCGCATTCCACGTGTTAGCTGCAACAGTCGTCCTGTCTGTTGCTTCACGGGACGCAGGTTTTGTTGTTAGAGGCCAAAGCCCATTGACAACCTGTTATTCCTTGCAAACCGTACCTGTCTGATGATGAACTGACAAGCTCGATTGTTCACCACCCTGTCGTGTAAGAAATCGTTAAATGTCACTGTCTGTCATCGAAGAATAAGTCCTACCGCTGATTCAAACAGGGTTCAAGTGCCTTCCGCAGTAAGTTGATTAGCTCCTAATAGTTCATGCAGTCAACAGCATTTAAGTTAACCCTAAATTTGCTGTGCGGTGAATCTTCGGCTAGGAAAAGTGCGAATCAGTTCGGTGGGTCTCTTGAATACCTGCGTCTACGGACCAATAAATTGCATGGGAATATTATACAATGTACTTCTCCATCAACTGTACCTATCGCACGCGTGCCTATGCAAAAGCCAACTCTTCCTGGACTTGATTTATGGCTTATGAGGAACATAAGTCTCAGGAATCAGTACACCATATGATTGGAAGGTACCCTGGAACTGGCAAACGTGTGGTTTCCATGGACGCTTAAGCCTCCCTCACAAGAATTATTAAAGATGACGAACCAAAAAAGTAGTGTCTGGTAGCACGCTACTCTTAACGGAATGCCCTAATAGTAAATTTGGACACATAATTGAGAAACAGGGTGACTTGAGGCGACGAATCGGTACAGAATAGTATAAATGCATCCCATGTTTAGAAAGAAGCAAGTGGTTAATTACAAGTCAGATAATTGACGGCCACATTGATAAGTCGACAGTGCGAAACCCTTCACGAGTGTTCGCGTATCCATGTTCATTTTCTTTCCTTTAGTAATTGCTCTTACGGATAACATTCATATTCCTACAGGGGTGAAAACCGCTGTGTAGAGTCAGGGAATGCCAGGTGGAAAGACGCTAATGGACTTTGGATTGATGAAGAGCTTATAACTCCTGCGATAGGTCATGTCTGTAGAACATATGCACTACCGAGGCGCGTGTTTGTGTTTCTGCTCCCAGGTCATGGCCAGTCTTGTTATATATTAAATGAAGACAGAATTAGCTCGAAACTGTGCTGTTTAATCTGCCCGCATCTCTTTCGGCATGCCCCTCTGTTACATTGTCGTGTTTATGACTGGATTTATCTTTTTGAATTTTCGGTCAATAGGCAGAATAATTTCCAACATCTTGCTAGGCATACATGACGTCTGAAATGGGTTTTATGAGTAATATTCGACTAAGACATGTTTACCGACGGACGCTTCTTCAATATGTCTCTTAAAACCTCAGGTATTATAAGTTTCCAAAAATTTCTATAAATTATTGTTAGGCTAAATTGTAGTTGATTGTCATTACTGGGGAAATAGATATTCCATACTGACGAGGATTGTCCCATGCATAGTGAAATGCGGCTCCATTGCTGTCCTTTTAAGGCACCGAAGGATATCCAGCATATGTTGTACGAAATGACAGGAAATAATCATCAGGGCGTGCCACCAGTTCAAACGAGATAATATCGACATCTATCCAATCACATCAAGGGAGATTTTATCCAAACTGCTCAGTTTTAACTGTTTCATTATTTCGACTTAAATTAGTCACCCATGCATGTCCCAAATTACGGTGGCTTTCAACTTTCTTTTAATGACACACTCTAAAGTCCTCGACATGGTAAATTGTTGGGAAAATTGATGGTGGCGAAAAACACTGGAGTAAATGACGTCAAAATGTTCGTGTTGAGTACTGTTCCATATTCTGTAGTAGATATCGGACTTGAGAAGATTTGACTGCGTACACGAACAGCCCACATGCCCCTAGCGTCAAGCCACCCATGGGTCGGATCACCCTTTCGTTGCCGTCTATATACCCACCTCGCTTGATTGCCCTGGGCTGATCTCATATAAAGCCTTTCCTTTCATAAATATCTCAGTGTCAGTGTGAGTTGAACAAGAGGTGTTGATAATTATGGCATCGCTTCTTCAAGCACCTTTCGCCATTTCACCCGTTTGCATGCATTATGGGTTGTCAACTTTTGTATTTAAATTAAAGCATTCGTTTTCCTTTGGTAATGACAGAATGAAAAAGCTGATACCGAAAATGAATAAGGTCCCTGGACCTCCAATAATGTAAGTCAACCTCCATTCACCTTCATTTAAGGTCCTCAGATTATCAATGACACGGTTCCATGGAAAATAGCATACAAAACGTAAAAAGGGTATTGGAAAACAAAAGAGAACGTTTACCTTACAAAGTAGACAAAACGGGCCCAATCATCTCTCCAGTTGCGAATTACTCCTTAAGCACTCCACGGTCCACCGTCTACTATCTCAATTTCCAGTCATTTTACTGGGAAAAGAAAAGCATTGAATAATACAGGCATCACGCAACCCCTGCACACTGCTTTCCTTTGATAAGGGTTCTCAGCCGAGCTAAAAATACGGTTGCAAAATCGACCGCAAGTTAATTCATGGTAAAAATGACCATGATTTGAGACTCGTCGCGGTTATGCCTACTGCAAAACTCTCCCATTTGCTAGCTTGATCCTGCATGTTTTTGATGAATTAATGATAATTTTCGTGGCATGTTATCGATAGATGGTGTTTATTTAAAACACCTTTTGGTTACTGCCCACCGCGAATTGCGCGTGGACCACATAACGACTGTTCGACCATTGTGTCCGACGATATTCACCCTGTGCTCCACAGCAAGGTGGAGCAGGCACTGTGATTTGCGTGTGAGTTAGTTTATAGTGAATGCAGACTTGCGCAGCATTTACCGCACTCCCCCCTCCTCATCCGCGTCCTGTGCCAAAACATAGTCAGAAAGACCGCAGGCGGGAGAGGGCACAGGTAGGCGGCGCGACCGGGTCCGCACCTAGGCGTACCATCACACCCTCTGGCCCACAACAAACATTTGACTAGGATTTTAACCAACAACAGCACAACAACGGGTCGGAGAGTGAAGGATGACTGGGCAGGTATGCTCACCACTTGTGTACCCAACGGGAGTGCAAGCGCGACTACCGATAGGGAACCAGGGGCCAGTGAACTACCAGCGCACACCAGGCCGGGACGGCAATGATTTGCTGAGTTATGGCAAAGCAGACGTAAACCAGCCTTAGGATCCAGATGGGTGGCAGGCAGCCCTGCGCTTGGCCTTGGTCATCACTCGTCAAAAGGCCGGGCAACCAGTCAATCATCGACGGGGAGGCATTATCCGTAAGACACACACACCCATCTCCTGCGTGACAGTGTTAGAGGTCACATTAAGAAGGTGCAGTGACATCCTGATTCTCAGTCCATCAGTCCGTCACTCCACAAAAACGTATACAACTGGGAAGACTGCGTGGACTGTGTTGAGGCGTCGGTCTCATCATTCCAAGCCACAGTGCTTGGCGCACCGGGACAGTCTCGGACTCAACCACACATGCAACTGAAGAGCCACATGAAGAAGGAGCCGAGAAGCGCACTTCTCACTTGTGAGGGAGACTACAATTACGTCCTCTCGTTGTGTGGCGATGGGTGATATTATGATGGTAGGGGGCGCTCACCGATCGATCTTAAGGAACTCACTCAATCCGTTGTGCCCTATGGGCTCTCTCGAGCCCAACCAGCAGCCGCACAGCGGCGCATGATATATATAGGCAGAATGCTATTACCGACAAAGACAAGGGAGACTGGAATGGCCATTTCTGGCTTATTAGCCGTGGTCAGCCAGTCACACCCAACACCGAAGTGTGGAACACCCGAGGCTCGAACTCCCGACCTGTTAGTTATACGTCCAACGCCTCTAACCACTGGGCCACGAGCCCGTTGCCCTGTCGGTTTCGATCGGGAATATACAATGGTAGGGGCGCTCACCGACCGTTCTTAGAGGCGTGGACTTCTAACTAACAGGTCGCGAGTTCGAGCCTCGTGTGTTCCACACTTCGGGGGTTATATATGACTGGCCGACGTCGGCTAAAAATCCAGAAATGGCCATTACAGTCTCCCTTGCCTTTGTTGGTAATGACATTATGGGTGATATTGTTGTATGATGCAGGTACTGGTGGTGGAAAGTATGATGGTGTGTTGCAGCTGGCGATTGTCCACCGTAGGTTTTCCTGAGTGCGCGTGTGACCGAATAAGCCCATGTGGTGGCTGAATGGGCAAGGACAGGGAGGGCAGTTGGGGCGGACGCAGCGAATGTAGGTTGGTACTCCTTGCACTGATTTGACAGCCTCTGTGCGATGGATTCGCAGGTGACTGACCAGGCCGATATGTGAGGTGAAGGTACGGGGACAGTGTGAGGGGGATAGGTCAGATGTGTCAGAGTCGGCTTCGGCTGTGATGGTGGTATGGTGGACCACATACAGGCAGCATCGAACGATGGTGGAAATCCAAATAGCTACTGAGGGCTACTCCTATGCTGATCAGTGAGCTTCACTCTAAATGATGTGGCGGAGAAGAAAGTGTAGAGTGCGATGTACTCCTTGAGGTTATTTATTTGAAATTAAAAGGAATATACCAAATTCATTTTCGATTAAAACTGATTTATTTGCCGGCCGACGTCAAAGTACTCTCTGAGATTTTAAAACATTGTAGGTCCATTAGAATAGTTCCCATCCTCAGCAGTCTATTGACAGCCAAGCGCGGACCCGAAATGTAAGTTAAGAGAGTCTGAACTTTGTCTTTCAGTCCAAACTCTGCATTTTGGTGGAGTAACCGAACACAGGGTGACACCAATTCGAAAGAACGACCAAAAATAAAAAATCTATTAGATAATATAAATTCTTCTTCGGTATGTGGGGCATAATTATATTTTTTTAAAAACTACAGCTAGTATTGAAAATGAACTACTCATCGGTCCAATAGTTTTATCGTCAAAACACGACAATGCATGATTTTATGTTGATATGAGCAATACTCAGTAATGAAACCAGGAGTGTATATTGTCGTTGCTGTTTAGAGCTACCACCATTCTTTACTGCTGTTTTTTTTGCGACATTCCTGAATGTAAAGTTTCTTTGCTAATCTACACACTCTGAGTACCGGCGGACCGCTGCTCCCGGCCTGTGAGTAACGCGGGAAACTCATGCACTCTGTGGGACCGAATCCAATCAATCAAAAATCGGGGTCATTATCCGGATAGACTGCAATTGTTATCAAACCAATTATGTCGGTGAAACTGGCAAACAGGTTTGCACGAGCTTGCATGGGCATGAGTTGGGTGTGAAACAGAAGGATAAACTCGTGTTGGTAGCCGTCCACGCCTCCTCGCCAGGGCACGACTTTGACTTCGAATGCGTACGAATATTGGGCCAGTCGGGCGACCAAGTTGCGCGCCTGCTGCAGGAAGCGTGGCACTCAACTGAGGACTCGACTAATCGACATATCGAGCTGCCAGCTTAGTAAGCACTGCGAGCAAAAATCAGCAGTGCATCTAGAGGTCATCACCAGCAGGGGTGAGCTAAATATACGATAAAATTGTACAGTTTTTTATTCCTTGACGATGGGCTCGCGTGAGGGTTCAAAACGTCGGATAAATAAACAACGGACCCCAGCGATCGACTTCCTGTATCCTTCTACTCAGTTATCTGAGCCGCGCATGTTAGCCATCATTTAGATTATCTTAACATGCCTGGAGACCCAAGCCCTAATCCCAAAACGACTACTTCTGGCTTAGTCCTTGTCACCAGCCAGTCGCACTTGATCTCAGGTTGGGAACACCGCGGATCCGACCGCGAGATCTTCATTTACTGAGTCGGACCTTCTGCCGATTGAGTCACGGACTCTTTGTATTGTCAGCTATGATCGATAATATGGACCGTGGTGGCGGGTGCTAACTGATCAGATCGACATGAGCAGTACATCCCGATTTGTTTCAGTTCGGTTTAGGACTTTTTGCGGGTTGATGTATTTGTAGAACTTCTTTCTTATATCCAAATACCGTTGGGTTCCTGACCATTCTTGCAGAACCAATAGCACTTTAGCGTGGGAAGTATAAAAACAGTTTTTAATATACGAAGAATATGGCTTTTAAAATCTTCGAAATGATACTGTGCATTTGTTTCCGTTAACAGACGCCCTACCAGCCCGCATTTACATAGAATTATTCAGTAAACTGTGCGTCACTTCCTAGAATTGCCTGTGGACTGGCAGGAGTACATTATGACTGTGGTGATAGTATAAATTGTAGTACAATTCTGCCCCTGCTACGACAGACAGGGTATATTAATCAGCGCGTATTACTTATGACTGAAAGCCACTAGCACTATGGCAGTAAAATAGACGCCAGTGAGCAACCATTGACTGAATGGCATATTCCCTCCTAATTTTATGGTCACTAGCGAAAGATGGATAATTTTACGCTTTCTAAACCTGCCTGTTACCTCGGTTCGCAACAACAACGGCGTAAGTGTGAAATATATATGGGATGTTGCGTTACCCCTGGTAGTAGGATTGACTTATGAGGCCCTCTAAAGAGAACATGAGAATAAGAACCGCCTGCAATATAAGTGGCTTTGAGTCGACTTCTAGTGGAATTAATGTTAGGTTTAAACTTCGTGTTAGGGTAAAGTAAAGGATAAAGTTAAAAGATTGATTTAAAGTTAATGGACTAGTGCTAACTGCAGAGTCAAGGTTAAGGGGAGGGTTAGGGTCAAGATTATGGCGACGGTTCAGTTTTATATCAGGGTCATTGTTGGGCGTAGGACGCGGCAATATTTCGTCCTTTCTCGAATAATGTGCAGGTCCATCTTTATCACATAGGTGAGGCGGTTCTATTCCCATGTCTTGTTTAGGGGTTCATACAAGTCAGTCTTGCCCTGCCGATTTAGGACCCAGCCACCGAACTGCAAAACTGAGGTACTGTAGGTGGGCTAACTCATGAAATGTCAACCGAAATTTCGAAATGCGTTTCCGTTTCAAAAAGATTAATTAAGTAGGGTTGTAAAATTGATCAGTCTGCAGTATAATTCTGTAATGATCCAGTCACCTTAGGGTGTCGGCTTCCAAATGAACTTATTTTCGACGGCATGCAAGAACTATACTCTGCAAAAAATGATTACTTAAGTAGTATGCAATTTTCTCATTGATTTTTGATGCCCCTAAAAGTTCAATTATATTTCATGGAAAACATGCATAAAAATATTCATTCTTTTAATTATTCGGTAGAAAATCACGTTTTCTTCAAATTTTATACTCGAAGGAAGATTACGAATTGGCTTGAAAACTTTTCTAATTCCCGAATCATGTTGAACACGACCTGCTGTTATACTTGCATTCCGTGTACGGAAAACCATGCATTTCCCTACGGTATTAAGGGGAGATTATATGGGTTCATAAAATTAAGCATTGAATTTGAGCAATATATTTAACTTTACAAGCCACATTCGTAAATGCAGATGCATGACGTTTTATGAACGGACATTTCACGGTATTAACAAATCTCGCAATTAGAAATTTTCTTAAAACAAATTCATAATCTTCCTTCGAGTATAAAATTTGAAGAAGTCGTAATTTTCTACCGAATAATTAAAAGTATGAATATTTTTATACATGGCTTCCATGAAATATAATTGAACTTTTAGGGACATCGAGAATCAATGAGAAAATTGCATACTACTTAATTAGTCATTTTTTGTAGGGTGTAGTAGTTGCTTGCCGTCGAAAATAAGTTCATTTGGAGGCCGACGCCCAGAGGTGACTGGATCATTATAGAATTGTGCTGCAGGATGATTACTTTCACAACCCTGCCTAATTACTCTTTTCAAAACGAGAACGCATTCCGAAATTTCGGTTGACATTTCATGAGTTAGCCCACCTACTGTACATGCGGCCATAATAAGAGTTTACAGCTGGTATCTCTAACACAGTAATCCTTTTCCCACATACATGGAACTTTTAGAATACAGCAAACTTCCTTTTATCAAAGATGAAGTCTTAAGTCAAATCATCTGTGGCGCGTGCAGACGGTTGTTTAGCTTCGGCAGTCTCATCTCCCGCTCCCCTGATTCTGTTCTAATAAGGGGTTCATGAGGGCGAGAAAGGAGAGAGTGAGGCAGATGCTTCACAAGTCTGCTATCATTGTAAACTAAGTTGCGCGTAAACCAGCGTTCCTGAGTCCATCTTGCTGTGGAACATACAGCGGACGTAGTCCGGCAACGACGGTGGGATTGACATGACTTGGATGGGTTGTTCTTGATCGCAGAACGGAAATAGGTATTTGCGTTTTGCTTTGGAGTTGAGAGTGTACTGCCGTCGTCACATTAAATGACAAATGAGCCAGAATTGGCCATTTCCGTGTTCCTGGTTTTGTTGCTGTAAACTTCTCAATTATTCCTTGTTACTCGTTATATGACTAGCTACCTGCGTTGTGAATTCGCCAAACCCCGGCCAAAAGAAATCCCCATCCCTGAGGATGCTCCATACCTTTCACGCGCTACCTCAGAGTGGCATTCGCTTTGTTATTGACTCACAAGTGACTCGGAACTGCATTCTAGCCGAATTAACTCAGAATCCCAGCTAAACACCTGATAACGCATGACACAGGTAGAAACGGAAGGAGACATTTAGGAGACCTGCTTAAGAGTCTTCGAAACACTTAATATCTGCGCATCTACTTCAGTCCAAAACGATGAAACGTTTGGTTTCTCCGGAAACCGACTCCCTATTGAGCAGGTAAAATGACTTGTGGTGCAAAATAGTCAACGTTTCTTTACTTGTCACCGCTCATGTGCGATCTACAACTCCCTCACATAATCAAGGCAAGGGGTCTTGGGTTGGGGTCTTGCTATCAGAACCGCTAAGTAAGCGACTGGCCGGCGGTTGCCTCGGATACGCAAGTTTTATGCTTGGCCTATTGAAGTTGGGTAGATCAGGGCTTGTTAATGATTGCTAACTAAGCAGAAGCTTAACTTTCAAAAACCACTGATTTCCAACACCTTTATGCTTACTAATCTGTTACATGTATTTTGGAGCACAGAACACGAACACAGAAATTAGATCTTGTATATTCTTCATTTGGCTGTACTTACATAATTATAACCTACGTTGCCCGCTAGTAACACACCGTCACTTTTTCCCTGTGTACTTTTAGAGGTAGAATTCTGGTAAAAACTGCTGCCTTCATCTTTATATTTGATCCACGCGACGGAAGGTGAGTGAGTGACAGCAACCGTTAAAAATGTTCATATGGGGTAAGACATAGCACAGGAAACAGGGGGTTCACTCAATTAACAAACACTTGTCACCAAATAGGATCAATGCCCGTCCTCCGTATTTCACGTGAACATGCATACCACGGGCGCATCATGTCGATATTCCCATGTTATTCGCTCCCCCTCCATAATAACTCGTATGTTCTAAATTATAGTCGAGAACGTAGGAGCCTGCGGCTCCACTGACGGCTCTTCCGACTCAAGTAGCATATTCCCCCCGTCTGGGGATGAGGCATTTCTAGCTGAAAATGGAAATCAGCACATTGGTGTTTTGCTGGGCGCCCAAACCTTGGCAACTGCATCATGCGGCGGTGGTGACAACAACAGTAGAAACAACAACGAAACACATATTCGTGCTCTTAGTTAGTGCCTGTTCTGCGAGTATTCTGGGGTCGTTAGTGCGCAGAGTTATTACAATTCAACCGTCATAGATGTTTTGGCAGATTTTGGATAATTCACATTGACCCAACTGGGAAAACCTCGGCGCCTCGGTGGGATTCGAACCCACACAGCAAGAGGAAGGCTTTAGTACAGTCAACACTCTAACTACTTGAGATACGAGACCCCGCTGGACGAGCCGAATTTAATCCCATTTCGGTCCCAAATGTCAAATCTGCCAAAACATCTATGAATTACGTAAGCCTGGTAGCTTTGACTTGGCCCAAAGTTAATTAAATGCCCTTACATATTGCTCTAAAGTGACTTTGTATATGCTTATTTGAACTGTCCGTTTACTCTAAAACGTGCGGATTCTAAAGCAACATTCTCCTGTCCCGCGGAAAGTCCTGCTAGTCTGTTTGAACCTTACTTTAAACAGGGTCGTTTTGAAAGGACAAACCGGCTGCGTGGTGCTGTGTTACTCCAACTTCTACCAGATCAAGATGGAGGAACCTGAATGTCGGGTGCTTTGATATGAAGTCCTAATCAAGCAATAATCACATCTTCGGCTCCAGAATTCCAATATAAATTTGATCTACTGCAAGGTCATGTGAGTGTTAATCCCCAATAGGTCGCATTGTAAAGCAGGATGTGGTCGTTCCGGTTTTCCTCGAAGTCCCAACATAGAGTTCACGCTGTTCGGGAGATGTACGCAGTGACCTAGAAGTATTCCTCCATATGACCTCTTGCCAGGCCTCTAGGGTAGAGCTCCAAGGGAACAGGACACTCACACCCCGTCTTGCAGGAAGGCTAGATAGGCGAATATAAATACCACGCGTCCAAATTGCAATCGAGAGAGCATCAAAATTTGACTCATATGGCAGACTTTTTGGCACAATGGGCGACTGTTCCTGGACCTGAGTTGATGTATGGCAGGTTGGCTGAAGCATCTAAGACATAAATGACAGCTACACTCTGTCTGGTCTTTTTCAGTGAAAATTCTCTAGAAAAGTTTCGAACTCCTTCAGAGGGAAATTTGCAAGCTGGAATAAGAAAGTTACCGACCTGATGTTTTGACCTCTCACTTGAACAGGGACAATCCCAGATAACGGTTATCTCTGCACTCCCTTCACAAGGAAATTTTTCTACATTGTTCGGCCATTTTACACATTACATATGAATTTCTTCCTCTCTTTGCTTATCTGAACTACAATACTGAGGTCACCTGCACAGCACGCCAACACCGCAGCATCTTCCGGATTGACTTTTGAATCTCGCCCATTGGCAAATAATAGTGAGGGCAAGGAAATATTTTTATAGGGAAAAGGTAGCCAGATTACGCATTACATGCAGATTTTTTCCTCTTTTTTATCTGAACTATAATACTGAGGTTACCTGCACCGCAGCAGCTTCCGGATTGACTTTTAGATTCCACCCCTTGGCAAATAATAGTGAAGGCAAGCAATGATGTTCTATAGAAAAAAGCCAATCAGATCAATACCACACTGATGTTAAGATAGTAAATTCTATTCTGGTATCGAGATCCGCAACAAGAATTTACCTCAACGCAGCGGAAACGGTCTGAGAGCATGCCGTACTAGATCTCACATGTCAGAGTTCTCTTCTTGTTAGCGGAGAAGAATTATGTATCGAGATCTGTTGCGGGGTTTAGAGGAGACATTCAAGTTATGTCTCCTTCCACTGAATTACCCCGTTGAAAATGTCGAGACCGAACACGTTTAATTTTCTGGAAAATTGTACATCATGGAGAGCTGTGTCCACATTTTACGTTACAACAGACGTATTGTCAGAATCTCCCGCCAAACGCTGGTGTCTCAGTAGGGATAGAAAACACATGGACTTTGTTCAATCCGAAGTCGTAAAACATGGGATTTATCTCGCTATCCCTTACTTGTTTAATGTGAACGTATGATGTAAAACGCAAAGAGAGCCAAAAACTCTGTACAAACCCCCCAGGCATCTCCTTTCTCAACATCACAGAAAATGTATTAGCCCGTGTCCAACTCAGCCGCTTGAACATGCGTCTGGAGCAGGTACGTCTTCCAGAAACGTAGTGCGGATTCCGAAAACATCGCAAAACAACAGGCATAAAAACGGCCGCCTGCCAACACAGGAAAAGTGTCAAAATATGAGGACCAACCTTCACACTGCCCACCTAATCTGGTGAGGGCCTTCGACACAGTGAATCACGGTGGACTTTGGAGAATCATGCTAAAATTCGGATGTCCTGGGAGATCCACACAAATGACAAGACGACTGCGCTACTGGGTGGTGGGTTGCGCCACGCGCCTGAAGCACTCTTTCTGACCAATGGGGTGAAGAAGGGCTATGTGCGCGTTCCCGCCCTATTCAGTACCATGCTCTTCGGTAGGCTAGTGGGCGTTTTCCGTGACGAGTGCTCACAGGCCGACATCAGTTACTAAACCGAAGGAAAACTGTTAAGAAACAGTAAACTAATATCAAATTTAAAGGGTGTCCAAGGCTACGGTTAACGACCTATTATTTATGGACGACTTTGTGCTATACGTCATAAGTAAGGAGGACATTCAGCGGAAGGGTAACCTTTTTTCCTTCGGCTAAACAAACTGAGGACTGGCCATCAACACGGAGGAGAAAGTGTCCTTCGCCGACCGGTGTCGAATGCTGGCTACACCGAACCCCATATCAATTTCACCTCATAGCAGTGAAGAAATTAGCGTACCTGGGACATACAGTTTCAAAGAACATGTGAATAAACAACGAAATCACAAGTGGGATTTCCAAAGTCAGCCAGGCCTTCTCCTGCCAAAGCTCTCTGTCTGAAACTCCCGCGGAATCCTATCCACTGAGGATGTACAGGGCTGCTGTCCTTACAGACCCTTGTGCGGGTGGAGAATGCAGATTGATTATAAAGGTCAAGAAAGAAGGTTCAGTCATTTTCAACCCGCTGCCCTTAAAGAATATTGAAGGCGAAGTGCCAGGAAAAAATCCCAGACGCTGGGATCTTGGAAGAAAGCGGTGTCCTTGATATTCCCACCATGCTACCATCCTGCATCTAATATCGGCGGACATTCAGTGCACGGATCGCCATCGTGGGACATCTGGTGACCCAGTGCAATGTAAAAATGACCAACTCGCCTCTCAAGTCACCGCACAGCATCAATAACGCCACAACTGCCAACGCCAATGTGGGCACTCTTACCAACCCGTCGAACATTAACACAACCGCCCCTGTCGTCCAAAAGATTGACTCAAATCTGACATAGCACCATTACGGCCATGCTTTCTCATTGTGCACCAGCATGGTCGGGCAATTACGAGTCCATCACGCTAACATTGGCATACCAGTGTCAGAAGCCCCAGCTTCACTTGCTTACACTGCTTGAGTACAGTCGGCCATCACACGGGCTTACTCGATCAGGTGCAACCCTATGCAAATCTTCTATGAAACCGCTCTCCAAACACCACCATCACAACTTGCCCTACCTGCCCACGCACATACATTTGTCATATTTTAATCCCTCCCACACCATGAGCCAGAACCTTAGTAAAAAATACCTCTATAGGCAGTATATTATCACCGACAAAGACAGGGGAGACCCAAATGGCCATTTCTACCTTATTAGCCGTCGTCAGCCAGTTATACTCAGCCCCGAAGTGTGGAACACCCGAGGCTCGAACTCGCAACATGTTAATTAGAGGTCCACGCCTCTAACCGCTGGGCCAAGAGTCCGTTGCCCTGTCGGTTTCGATTGGGCTCGAGAGAGAGCCCGTAGGGCACAACGGAACGAGTGAGTTCCGTAAGAACGATCGGTGAGCGTCCCCTACCATTGTATATTTCCGATCGAAACCGACAGGGCAACGGGCTAATGGCCCAGCGGTTAGAGGCGTGGACTTCTAACTAACACGTCACGAGTTCGAGCCTCGGTTGTTCCACACTTCGGGGTTGGGTATGACCTGCTGAAGACAGCTAATAAGCCAGAAATGGCCATTCCAGTCACTCTTGTCTTTGTCGGTAATACCATACTGTCTATATCATGCGCCGCTGTGCGGCTGCTGGTTGGGCTCGAGAGAAAGCCTGTAAGGCACTACGGTACGAGTGAGTTCCGTAAGAACGATCGGTGAGCGCCCCTACCAAAATACCTCTTCCTACAGTAAGCGTATGGTCGCTTTACAGTCGCCGTGATGGTCGGCTCAATTCCGAATGCCAGTAATGCACATCTCACATAAGTGGGAAGCACGTCCTTTGATCTATTCTGGTACATGAAGAGGCGATGAGGCCATTCATTGCGCACACAGATGGGTTGTTTAGATCTGTTAGCCGTTGTGCCCAATTTAATTACCTGCTGTGTGTTAAATTCGGACAGTTGGCTGGTGCTTGGGAGAGAGGATAGAGTTCGACAGCGGAGAATCCATCCTCATTGCAAACCAGCGCATCCCCTACTGTGATAAAATTGACATGCTTGAATTTATTACAATTCCCAATGAGTCCTGGCTTGGAAGACTGTCAGCAGACGGGATAACTCGACGCTTACGGTCAATGTTGTGCGGAGATTGGATGAGTGACTGACGGACTGGAAGTTAGATTCGATGGTCCCTACCTAACGCGGCCTTTTGGGACATTCTCAGACAAATTAGATTCGTGTCGCCCTAGGAGGAAGCCCGTTACATTTTTCACGGAACGGGCGTGTGTAGCACGCGTAAATATGGGCCGTTTAACTTTGTCAATCACTGCAACCGAACCCAAAATCGACCTCCCTGTCTTCCTTTTTTTCACGCAAGTTTGCTACCACCATAAAATAATTCGCGTACAAGTCATCGGTGCTACGCCCGCCACACCGTATGCCCACGCTGGACGTCGTCATTCGCAACTGTCGAACCGTGACTATGACAGCATATGGGCACTCGACATCTATCGAAGGATGATAAAACAATGAAACCAATCTGCCTATACACTACTGGGCTAGAAACGAGTAAGTGTCTTGCAAGTGTTACCATTCTTTGCCCATATAAACCGTCGCTTTGCAAACTGCAACCAGAAACAACAGTAGACGATATATCTGTAAGACTTGTTCAACAGTGGCAGTGGCCTATGTAAAGCCGGCTATCATTTGTTTGCCGTTGCGATTAGTCCGAACCAGCGAGATTTTGTGTTGTGAATTAAAAGCTACTGATATTAAATACGTACAATGTAAATATAGCACAAAAAATATTTTCCCGGTTGACTGAAATTTTTCTTAAATATGCGATCACCAACTGCTTCGCGAGTTATGAAGGTGCTCTGTGTTGGCAGCAGTCTGTAACATGAAGTTTTTGTCAAGGCTGTACTAAGCGAGAACACACAATTAGAAACTAAGCAGCATTCCCCCTTGGTCAGCATTTACGAGTGCTAATCCTCCGGAGTAATTTTTCAAAGTCCCCTTTAACATTTATTGCCTGTAACATTGCCCTAAGGCTACGTAGACCACTTCTCGAACTAAAAGAAGTATGCTCTAAGTACAAACAATGATCAGTCAAACACCTGAAATTTAAC